CATACTTGTACCTATCAAATCTCCGACATCAACGCTCAGGATAAACTTCTAATTATGAAAAGGAAACAATATCGAATTCGAGATAACGGCGATAACCGCACTTGTATCTAAGACGCCATAGGTGAGGTGAGGTGAGGTGACTTGCATGTACGAAGTGCGATGAAGAAGACTTGGTCTAGCCTTGACGCCTGTCTTAGTTTTTTATTCTTTTTCTGCTTCTACGGAGTACTTGCATTTACAGTACAGAACTTTCAATGGAATTATTCAATAATTATACATCGAACTTATAAAGTAAGAAGAGCGAGGATAAGGACATAATACATCGGATAATAATGTTATGAAAATATAAACAGTAGATCCATACATACCTCATCGGAGATACCTCTCCATCTCCATCCCCACCTATTCTCCCCATCCCCAGTTCATACCTAGCCCAGCCCAGCCTCATTGTCCTTCCCCACAACCAACGACCATCTCCAGCCTGAAAAGTGAGGCGTAGCCTAGCCTACAATACTTCGTACAAGCAAGAAAAACGAACCGTAGAAAGACCGACGGTGCCTTTCTCCGCGCCGGGTATGACGAGTCTTTTTGACAAACTGGGGATTTATTACTTCGTACTTTGTGCGTAATCTTACAGGTAGTCCGTAGGTATCAAATAAACGCGATGATTCAACATGTTGAAATGACAGTAACAAGTTATTCACACACGTTTCTTAACTATAGGTGTGTTTAAGAAAGGATAGGAGGAAAGGGGAAACAAACATGTGATTCCAAAACCGAGCGTGGCACAAGATCAATCATCAAACAACTAAAATCAGCCAGCCAGTCACCCAGACAGATAACAAACGCAAAAAAAAGTCAGCGGATGACAATCTTTCGCCGTGGTGCAAAAATACTCAGCCTCTAAGCACTCTTCTATTGGTCAAAAGTTAGGAAATATCGTAAGCGAAGGAGTCAGGGCCGTTGATTGGATGATAGGAACGTGTATTTTGAGGAGGGGAGACCTGATACGGTGATATGACGGAAAGGGATGTGGGGACGGGAATGTGTGTAATTGATGGTTGGCTGGGACTGGGTCATTGGATTAGCTGGGAAGGTGTTTATGACTCGCCGTAGATTGTGATTTTGATTTTGATTTTGATTTTGATTTTCCCTGTGACAGTGACAGTGCCTGTGCCCTACGGTACCTGGGAATGGGATGGGAAATGTGGGACTAGACGGGACGGAATTGAATTGCTGGGAGGGAGGGTTTGAACTTTGATATATCGGCCGGTGTATTTCTCGCGCTTCCAACGATGCGATGGGATGGGGGATGACTTGGATATCGTGATTGATTATCCACTTACATATGTCCGTACATTGGATTGGTGTGGACGTATCCTCGGGACGTTGCAGAACCATCCTTCTCCTTTGGTGAAGGAGAAGGACGAAGGATTCAGGATGGTGAGAGTACTCCAACGAAACTCGCACATGTACTCTCACAATGAAACCTGTGGTGGTAAGAAGAAGCCTGAAAAAGGGGGTCGAGATCGGTCTGGAAAACCCGAAGAAGCTTCCATCAAGATGGGCAGCTGGTCTAGGTCTTCTGCTGAGCGACACACCTACACCTTACCCATCCCGTCCAGATGATTTTGATATTAGATATTGGAGGTTGAAAGAGAGAAGAGAGTGGTGAGCCTCCCCTGTCGACTCAGCAAGCATGATGCACGTCACTGAAGTTCTGGTCCTGGCCTGGTTCTCTGCTCACCCTCACTCGGTCAGCGTCAACCCCGCCATCCATCGCTTTTGATACCGTGAATAGATTGGAATGAAAATTCAACATCGGAAGTTCGTTCTCTCGGTCGATCGGTGGGGAGAGAGTCAGTTCGTACTGGTTCGTGGGTTACAGAATCTGCACTTTATACTTTATTCCTTTACTTAGTGCTGTATGTACTCGAGGATCCCGAAGCCCGAGGATGGCATCGGTTTCCGAAATTCCTGCGCACCACCAAGCAAACCAAACACACGTTACTGTATCATCATCGTCCCTCGCGATGTTGAGGAGTTGAGTGTTCACCGTTCACTCTGGAGTGGCAGTGGCGAGGAGGGGTGATGGCTGTTGCGAGGGGTTGACACGACCACTTTTCCGATCGCCCCCTCCGAACCTTCTCCATTCGATTCGCGGGAGCGATCAAAAGGAAAGAGAAAAAAAGTCTTGTTTGGACCTCATGTGCGTCGTGTGGTGTGCAGAAGGCCGACTCCTCCATCTGATCATGATGATTGTGCTGCCTGGAATGTTCTTGGTTTCTTCCATGAGTCCTTCGATGCGTGGTGGTGGTCTGCACTAGAGCATCCTTGCTTGTACCTGCTTTCCAACACGTCGAATACTAAGCTGCCAAGAGGTGACTGTACTGGTTGTCCTCTCGAGATTTTCTCCCCGCATCTTACGCCCCTCAACCCCAAACCCCAAGTCTAATACTGTGGATGTACTTGCGTCGGGATGATTCCCAGATGTCCAGATGAGATGCACCACCAGTTGACATCCTCGCATTTCTCACCCTCACCCTCCCAATGCCCGGAACCATCTCGTCACCGAGATGTAGTAAGTTGGTGGCGTCCAAACCAGGTGCCTCCACGCCATCTCGCAACCCACCATTAGCGAGGAATTAGTGTACAAAGTAGAATTGTTCTCGAAGTCTTAGCTGCAGATTTACCCTTCTTAGCATTGGATCTGTCGTCTGCATACACCAACCACACTATTTGCTTCTCCGCCTCGCCTAGCAGTGGTGTAGGGCAGACTTCATGGTGGTTGTGTCTTTTCTCCACCACCTGTGGGCACCTTGGAGTAGGCACCCGCCAACCTGCTTGGAACTTTTTCCCAGAAGAGGTGTCCACCACACAAGATTTGATAGAGGCGAGATAGAGTTCATCGACGATGCTGTCCGACTTTTATATCAGAAGAGAGAAAGAGCACGAATCCTGGTTAGAAATTACATGATATTCGATTCCGTCATAACTGATGGCTCGATTCCCACCAAACAAGCAAAAACCGGCCAATCTGATGAACATTCCAATCTACATATTCCTCCTCCTCTCTTAGAATGCTCCTTTTCTGGGCAACATATGCCAAGATACATGTGTCTTGAATTGTGCATCGTTGCGAGGGAGAGAGGGCAGATGTCGGTATTACTGAATGGCTCTTCGTGCTCCCCATCCTCCTTGGCCCATATGGATGGCAGCGTTGTTGTAGATTTGTATGACTTCCGTAAACACTTCAACCGTGATGCCAAGACCATACAGCTGTCGGTACACTTGCAACCAAGAAATGTGTTCCAGGAAAGTGAGAATTCCTCCGGAATCAAGCGTTTGTCTTGATACCTGAGTCGACCTTGCTGGCGCTCGTGGCTCAGCATTGAGTTTTCTGATGCTCGTCATACCTCTATTTTTGTGCTTGTACTGACTGGTACTGGTAGGGGTCGGGCATTGGCTGATGGCTGGCCATCCATATAAAACACTTCCTGGCCCATCATGAGGCATAAGGTTAGTCGGAGGTTGGTTGTCAACTTGTCGTGAACTTGAACCTGAACCTACCGTCGTCAAGCTTGAAGCTGCGAGGCGGCAGCATCCACTCGTACCAACCAACTTTCTTCCCATTGACACGCCTGCCCGCTACCCCGTCTTTGCTCACCTGGGCACTGTTGGAGATTTCTCCAGCTTCAGCACTCGCTACGTACACTACACTGCCCATACACTACACTGCCCATACACTACACTGCACCGTCGGCAGCAGATCCCTCGTAGGCCTACGGAGACGCTGAAACCAACTGCGCTAGCGAGCTAAAGAAAGACACCCCAGCATTTCCCAGCAGCAAGATCAATCGCCGGCCAGCATTCTACGGCGGCTCACTCGGCCCACAGCGTAAAGATCCAACGAGCCAAAGATTAGCAGTGGCCTGAACGGGAAAGGGGTGGAGGGGAAATTCGCTGCACTTCGCTGCATCGCGACGATTACGGGGACCCAATAGCACTCAAACGGCCTTCAAGCCTTGGTCTCTACCTACCCCCAGGTAGGGTAACTGGAGGCGCCTCCACAGTCCACACGCGCAGGCCCTCGGCCAATTCTCTCTCCCCCTTGCATCGCTGTCGATTCGCTCACGCATTCGCATCCACAGCATCCTCAGAGGCTCAGAAGGGGGTTGAGTGGGGTGCAAAGTGCTCACTGCACTCTACACCACTTTCAGACGTCCCAGCTGCAGTCGTAGTAGAGCAGACGCAGGACAAGGAACCTTGATACTGGTATATATCCCTCGTAGCCCCCCCCCCCCC